TTACAAAATAAGCACTGATCTTATAACTTAATCATAATCCTTTAACTCAATCAGTGTCAAATACGATCCTTGTTTTCTTGACCTGCGTCTTGAACTCGTATTTTCTATCGGTCAATGGCTGATGGGATACTATTAGAGGCCACAGATGTTCAGTTCTTTGCTTTTGTGTGCGATATATATGTTAAAGTATTATGATGGGTGTTACAAAGATTTCCGAAAAAGAGAATACGATAAAAATTAAGTTCATAAATTAATTGATAATATAAAACAAAAATGTGCATATAATGTCAACATATGTGTGAGTGTGAACTGTGATTGCTGTTTACTTTTAGCTGACCATGAATACAGAATATTCTCTACCTACGTAGCCATGTTACGAGAGAGAGTCAATAAATAAGTAACAAATTGAAGAGAAACAGCTGTAACGAACATAATAAATTTTCTATTAATATCAGTACGTAGCAGCACAGTGTAGGTTCATGACAGTTTAGGTGGCAGACAAGCATGTACCTCTTCAGAGGATGGTTTCAGTAGTCAAAATGGCTTAAGGCGTGTACTACCGGAAAGCAGCGTTCTGTTGTGCGGTATTTTATGGGCAAAAGGACTCACTACAAAGGATATTCATAAATAAATATTTTATGTTTATGGCGGGACATGTTTGTCACGTAAAGCAGTTCACAGCTGGGTCGAGAAATTCTCTGAAGAACTTTCGAAAGTCGCAGATGATGCCCGACCAGGTTGCCCTGTTGAGACTGCGACAGAAACAACTGTGCAGCGGGTGGAAGAGTTGATTCGAGCTGACAGGAGGATAACGATGGGCAGTGTAGCAACTGCACTAGGGTGCCCCTTGGTTTAGCATACAGCATAATGCAAGATCGGGACACAACTCGCAGAACACAGCCAGGCGAACTGGCGAGAGGGGTACTGCTTCATCATGACAATGCCAGACACAACACAGCCCGAGCAACCCAGCCAGAATTCAAGAACTACACGTACAGTGGGGCCTCACAGCCCGGACTTGGCCCCTAGTGACTTCACGCTGTCTGATCCGCTAAAAAAAACACGTTGGTGGCAAACGTTTCGCTGAAGACGAAGCGGCTGAAGCGGAGCTGCGGAAGTGGCGGAGACAACATTTGAAAGATTTCTATGCTGCGGGTTTCGACGCACTAGTAAAGCGAAAGGATAAGTGTATCAATGTTGGTGGAGGATATATCGAGAAATAGATGATTTTTTCCGAGTTCGAATAGCACATGTTTTACGTTTTATATTCACTTGTGAACTGACTCTCCCTCGCATTATAATGCATGAATAGTTATGCTAATAAAATGCATAAAATATAGCAATGAACTCAGTTGAATATGTGGTAAAGTTATGTTGAATTATCCGCAGGAACAGTGCGATTTTGTGAAGTGTCCGTTGAGATGTAGGATGAACGACTATCGTCATCAAGCATTACACATAAATTCAGTATTGTAGAATGTAAGGCGTATAGTATTTATGGAGTACTGGTTCTGCTGAAACTTTTGTTCCAGAAACAAATATTATAGTATTAATATATAGAAGTGTTACTTTTATTCTGAAATACTTATACAGAAAATCAGAGAACTTCAGCAAGTGATATTATACAGGATAATACAGAGTGGGCCAGACTCAATTAGGCAGTTTTTGATCATTAATAACTAACCAGTCCAACAACATACGGGATAATGGGAAAGTTCCTTTTGTTGTCGATAGATGGCAGCATCATACGGTATGGTGTGAACGAGGTCAATAATCTGTCTACTTAGTGCGCATCGAGGAAACGTCATGGCCGGTAGACGGTTGTCTATCGAGCAGCGTGTAAAATGTGTGCGCCTTTTCTCAGCTACTAACAATGTATCAGAAGTCCAGCGCAGGATATTGGAAGAGTTTGGACCGCCAGCAGTCCACAGGGGCACAATCGTCCGAATAAACAAGCAGTTTGATGAAACTGCCAGTGTTTTGAATCCCAAGCATCCTGGTCAGCCGAGAACTGTCCGAACTGCTGACACACAAGCACGTGTTGCTGCGGAACTGGCATCATCTCCTCAGAAATCGAAGTCTACCCGCCGTTTGTCGGCCCTACTGGACATTTCGAGGACAAGTTTGCGGAGGGTTTTGAGTGACATGAAGCTGACGCCATACCATCCACGGCTTATTCATGTTCTTAACGATGACGACTTCGACAGGCGACTTAAGTTCGCCGAGTTGATGCTGACCAAGTTTCAGGAGAACCCTAACCTTATCCGGAATATTGTCTGGACTGATGAGGCCAAATTTCACACATCAGGATCGGTCAACAGACACAACTGCGTGTTTTGGCGGCCAGAGAACCCCAGTGCCACCATTGAATACGATTTCCAGTCCCCGGGAGTGATGGTGTGGGGCGGCGTGACGTACGAAGGACTGATTGGCCCGTTCTTCCTTGAAGGTTGCGTCACGGGGGAAACCTACCTAAAGTTGCTGAGGGAAAGTGTCATCCAAGAACTTCAGAGGAGAGAGAACTTTGATGAACTGTGGTGGCAGCAAGATGGGGCCCCACTACACTTCGCCAATATTGTTCGAGCGTTCTTGCATCAAGTTTTCCTTAACGCTGGATTGGCCGTCGAGGGCCTGTGGAGTGGCCAGCCCGAACACCTGACATCACCCCACCAGACTTTTTCCTTTGAGGTTACCTCAAAGACAAGGTGTACGCTAATCCCACTGACAGTGTGAAACATCTGCGTGAGGTGATTGTTCAGGAGTTCAATAAAGTTCCGGTGAATATGTGTAGAAAGGCGTGTGAAAATGTTGCTTTGCATCTGCAAGACTGTGTTGACTTAGGTGGTGCCCAGGTTGACCAGTATCTTGAAAATCGATGACTTATGTGTGTGCGATTCCATTTTTGTAACCATTGCAACTGTTAACATTTATCAATAAAAATAACATCTAATCAAAAACTGCCTAATTGAGTCTGGCCCACCCTGTACAGTGTAAAGCCGGTAACGGTAGCCGAACGTTCTAAGGTATACACTATGTTCGTTCACTAGGAAGCCGGGATCGTGGATTCGAATCCCACTCAGGGCATGGATGTTCAGTGTTTGTTTGTGTGTGTGTGTGTTTTTTTTTCTTGTGTTTGTGTACATGTAGAGGCCTTGCGACGAGCTGATCACCCGCCCAAGGAGTCCTACCGGATGTCTAAGATCTAGTAAACCGAAGTGAAACGGAGAGTGTCATGGAGGTAGGCCAATGCTCAAATCGGGGCTGTAGAGCCAAAGAAAAAGAAATACAGTGTGGAATGACGGATGAATTGGATCCATATTTCAATAGGGCAGATCAAGAAGAGAATATGACTATTAAACAACAAGGTATCTACCTAACGCAACACCTGATGGTGACCTGTGAGTTCGAAACATGTAATTATTTTCAATAAAAACGTCAGTCATCATTGAGGCTGTATTAATGTAGCTACGAAAGTACAAATTATAGCGTCGATTGGTATGATGACAGATGAATACGATGAACCGCAAATGATTTAGAAGGAAGCGGTCTAGTCTACTCGGGACTATATCCCGACATTTGCTTGGAGGGACAGTAGAGCTGTCAACAACCCTCAGTCACGATGACCGGCATGGAACCGCCATGCCAACCTTAACGTAAGTCTAGATTGTTACCGCTAGACCAGCCTTCGAGGTATCTTTTTTATAGCTAGTGGGGTGAGACTAAGTCCCTTGTACTGCAGCCACTTCTGGCCTATTGTACCAGCCCCAGATGATAGGTGAGGGTGATTGTGGAGCAACTGGTGGAATGAAGATTGGCAGGGGAAACCGAAGTACTCGGATAAAACCTGCCCCAGCGCCACTTTGTCTACCACAAATCCTACTTGACCAGATCCGGGATCGAATCCGGGCCGTCGCGATGGGAAGCCAGCGACTAACCGCTTGAGCTATGGCGCGGCCTAACCTTCTCGGTAAGTCCGCATTGTAGACTAAATGGCTGTCACAGATTTCTGTAGGCGAATTGTTTAAGTTAGTTTCGAAAATGGTAATTTAACGGGATTGGATCTATAGAATTTGTTCTCTATTGTGCGGACTTGATAAATTCAACTGTAGCGCCATCCGGCACATTCAAAGAGAGGATAATATGAACTGAAAATAAGAATACGTTCAATAATGAAAATAAAATAAAAGATTTCTCACAATAATACGTGAATTAACCGAACTGAATAAATTCTTTTTGTGCAAATTCTTGGGTATGTTCTACTAAGCTCACATTGATTTCATTCAGTGAACTGTTCATTTATAGCACTTCAAGTTACGTTCCTGCACCACCCGGTATATGAAGTTAGTCGCAAACTTCAGAGATTTCCTCGGGATATTTTGATTACGCAGAGAATTTCTACATAACACAGAGTATACATTTAACTAAAGTTAATTTTTTTTCTGGATATCTGTAAAGCAAACGATACTTGTGACTCTCTTCAGCCTGACATCTGTAAGCTGTATATCCTGCCCCGTACGATCTGTAATTTAGTCCTTCACACAAGTGAACAACATGAGTTGAGGGCAGACCTATTTGAGAACAGAATGCTGAGGAGAATATTTCGACTTTCGAGAGAGGAAATCGCAGGAGACTTATAAATTTACACAATTATGAGTTTCATCATCTGTACACGCCGCCAAAAATGGAGTAGATGAAATGGACAGCCTTGTGGCTCGCAGCAGAGATTAGAGGTACAATACTTCAGACCAAAACCTCAAAGGAAAGCCAACTTGGAAGACTTATACGTAAATGTAAGGATAATATTAAAATTGATCTAAAGTAATGGACTTAACATACCTGGCACATTACAGTGTCGGGCGGTGGGATGTTATGAACACTGTCATGAACCATCGGTTTCCGGAAAAGGTACGTCATTTCGTGACTAGGTGGGATACTATCATCTTCTCAAGAAGGACTCTACTGCATGGAGTTTGGGCATTTGTTACGAAGCTTTGCCTTACCTTTTTACATCGGAAGAGGGCGATGATAGTGATAAGGTTGCCGGGGATTCCCACGAGGATGAAAATGATGCAGCAGGCCGATGCGAAGTGCAGCAAGGCAGCCGAGTAACCTTCAAAAAGTTCTTCACTGGCATCCCTTGCCACACTAGTGTTGACAGTTGATACAGCGAAACTATCGTTGCCATTAGATGTTACTACTGAATCTGTGTTGGATATTACGCCAGTATCCGTCAAGAAGCCTGCCAGTATGGATGTCTGCATTAGCAGGTCGTTTTCGTTTCCTGACCCGTAAGCTTCCATCGCACACGCTTTTTAAAAAAGTTCGTCAAAGACAGAATATTTCAGCTTCGCCTGTTTCAGGCAGGATTTTTATGATGTTAAGTTTGTTTTATAAACAAGATATACAAAATTTTATAACAGATATTTCCGTCTGTTTTTTGTCCACATAGTTTTATTTGTCGTTGCTTTTCTCTCTTCCTCTTCTTCCACAGTCTGTGCTTTCATTAACCTCTTTCTTGGCGTTCCTTTTTTTTAACAAAAAAGGTTACACTGTCCTGAACAACTTTGTTTCCTTATACTTCCAACAAAACGAGTAAACATCAAAGTTCTTCTAAAAATAAAACACAGAAAACAAATTGTTATTTATGGACCTTAAGTTTAAGATGTATTTATAACCTTTGAGTGCCTAACTTTTAGTGATAAATACCATAAATTTACGTTTCTCGATGTACACCATATAAGAAACACGTTACCTGTATAAAAATGCAATATCTTTCGTTGCGAATTGTTGAAACACTGTAACAAACAAGGCTTAAATATTATCAGTGACAAGGAGGCACACTCCTTACGAGCACATCAATAAAGGCGTGGTTGTACATATTGAATCACAGTAAATATCGTTATCAATCCAAAGTTGGCAACCCAAAACATCTAACGTGATTCGTGGGCTTGTAGAGAAGCCAAGAACAAATGAATGAGATAAATGTCTCTGTTCTTTTCGCATGTTGGACAAACTACATCTCGGAGCAGAAGCACGTGCCACATTGTTTAATGTCGTTCGAAACGTAACAGAGCTTTACTTCAACCAATACGTTGTCTGCCGATGTACGAAAGTTACATATTAGCATGTGAACATGACAGAGAGTAAACTAACCTAGGCCTTCTACTGGAACTGAATTTAAGAAAACCACAGAGTGACTATAAAGTTCCATTATAGGAAGATAAATGTTTTACACACGATAATCATACATTTAAACTATAATGTTCACTGTCCTGAGACTGTCTGCTGTTCCGAATGCCGTTTTCAAAACTCTCTTGCTAGAATGTACAGATTTAAATATTAATCTAAAAACTTAATTTTTTTACTTTAAAGTTGACATATTTCTGTTAGTCTTTACACATTAGGAATAAGACGGACATTATTGGTTGTAACTGTCTACAGAATTTTCACATTTAATCCAACATTATAATTAGAACTGCGAACAAAACGCATCGCTATAACACGGTTATAACTGAATGTTCCCCCACAGTTCAATAGGATTTTAAACGAAATTAAACATCCTATTATTATTGTCTTATACGCTTTGATTTTCTTCTGGAATTACGGCTACAAAAATTTCTACAATTAAACTGTAAATGCTACACTCCCTTTCCGTGACACTTCGGATCGCATTTCGTCGAATGTTCCAAAATTAAAACAGCCGCAGTTAATACGATCGTACACACTGTGCTGGCACATCACACGTCACTGCCGTTGTGCCTGCAGCTCTCCCTGCCTGCCGGCTGCAGCCCAAAGACTGGATTGCTCGTGCCTCAGCTGGTGGCTTATATCACGCTAGCGGGCCGCGCGCAATAGCATCTATCCCGCCACACAGAGCAACCCTGATCTCTCTCACTCACCACCTTACTTAAACTATCGCCATACTACCAAACTTACCCCGCCCTACGCACATTAAACGCGCAAGCGTAGAAGCAAATATTTAACTGCCGGAATCTAGTTACATCATTCTGCAGTGGACACCCTACTCATGCAGACGGGAGCCATGATTTTAGATTTCGTGGCTACTGGCTAACCAGCTGAATGGCGACAGGAAAATGTATACAAAGATCCATAATTTAATCATATCCCGAGATTGTTGAAATTAACTCTGTTCCAGTAGGGTCAAGAATTTTCTCCTCTCCACGCCGTCCAGACTGCCTCTGGGGTCCACCTAACCTCCTAGGCAATGGGTACCGGAGGCTGTATCCCCGGGGGGGGGGGGTATAACGGCCGGGAATTGAAGTTGACAACTCACCTCCAGCTAGTGCCGAGGCCAAGAAATTGTTTATCTAAACATCCACTCTCCCACACGCCTTCACGGCGTAGTGCTTGATTAGTTAAACAAAGGAACAACTTTTTGCCCTAATTCTCTTAGATGAATTCCACTGCAATTGTTTCATGCTCTTTAGTTCCTTAAATGGTCTCTTCACTTCAGATTATCGGAATAAAAGTTTCCATGTCATTTATCACACCATTCATGCGTCTCACATATCCTACCCATTTTAACTTTCTTCATTTAATCACCCTGATGTTGAAGAAGAAAACAAATTACCGAAGTCCTCATTATGTAAGCTTATTGGCTCCATCTTGCTGTTACTTCTCTCTGTTAGGTCAAAATATTCGTAGAATGACCTAACACGGTACAAGCATTGTCCTGACGTTACCATATCCACTCAGACAAACTCTTACTGTTCCGTCGTTATGTATGTAAATGTACCGTAATCGTAACGAATAAGAGCAATAAGCGGCAGTGGAAGTTATACCTGAGTCGTTAATGCAGTGTCTACTTTTGCCGATAAAGTTCATAATATTCCTCTAGAGAGAAGCACCGCTTAATGAATATTGTTACCGCATCAGTTTAACGTCTTAGTGTAAATGCGGCTGCGTTTTCCGAACTCTCCAATTGACTGAAGTCACACATTCTTGCCTGAGACAAGAAGCACTGCGCATTTACAAACAGTTCTCAATATGTAAGAGCTGAGGTTTTCACGGCGGTGACTATGAAGACTGCCGTGTCCTGGAATGTGGCGCCGTGTAAATATTGTGTTAACCGACGTTTCGGAGGAGTGTATCGCATCCATCTTCAGGGTGTAAAAATCCGCGATCCACCTGCCCACGCTGTTCCTCACTCGCGGATTTTTACACCCTGAAAATGGAGGCGATACGTTCCTCCGAAACGTCGGTTAACACAATATCTACTCGGCGCCACACCCCAGGAGACAGTACTCTTCAGTTCTAAATATACGAGTAATTATGCTTCACATTAAAAAATATAGAGGCGTCTAATACGACGATTAATGAGTGAAGAACTGGAAAGGATGTAGGAAGAAGTGACCGTAGCCCAGTCCAATACTATCCCAGAATATTCCTGGAGGGAATGAGGAAAACTATGAGAAACCTCAGTGAGGTAACCTGCGTTCTGGTCCACATTCGAAATGAGCACCTCGTGAATACAAGTTAGAAGCTATATGGTTTTTGTTAACTTAATTAGTGTATGCATGTCATTCTAGCTGGACAAGAATATTGTAACGTATTTGATCAACGGGTTGCCAGGCAACAGCTCTGTAAACATGGTCCAACACGTAACAATAGGTGAGGCTGTTTCTATGTCGCCCGGCCGAGCAGCGGTGTAAAAAAGGGGTTATGCAACCCGTTTCTGAGCAACGGCTCGGTAACGTCACTCCCGCGTAAGCGGTGACGTCATCAACAATAGAGACGGTGTTTTCCGTGGAGTCTGTGCGGAGTGTTTATAAGAGAAACGACTGCAAGGACAGTTACGAGTCAGTCATAAGCTGAATGAATGAGTCCAGAAGAATTTTTAGTTCCGAGGTTCCAGAGTGACTGAAGACAAAAGAGAAATATGACTTCATAGTGATTTGTAGTGCTAGTTTCTCTGTTGAAATCTGTTGCTAGGAGACAACTAGTGGAAACTGAGAATCCTAGTGCGTGTGCAGCGATTGAGTTGTATTAATGGTAATTAAGAGAACTTGTAACTGATGTGCTAACAAATCCAATTATCAGAACTAGTGCCCGTTATTTTCGTCACGCGTACCACCCTACGCTTGGCAACACGAACATGAACCTTCAGTGCACATAAGATGTCTTTATCGTTGAAGTGACCTACATGCATAAAGTTGAGAAACTCGGATAAATTCTTAAATCTCCTTTTATGTGTTCGCCTGAGCTTCAGCGCTTCTTGAGACTGGTGTCTGACGCACAAAACGACAAATGTTTCGCTTATCGGATAATTCCAACACTTCTGAGTCAACAGAAAGCAAGCTGCACCTTAATAATATCTTATCTATTGCGTTATAATTCTGATACATTTTACACGCAAAAAGCAAACCAAATAGGGCCTGAAAATTGCTGTACTAGGCAGCCCAAGAACAGCTTAAACTGAATACATGTCACAAGCATCAGTCAATATTGGTTCAGGATATCGACGGTCATTTCCATCGTTAAACGGCAATGACGATAACCATTTGTTCCAAAGTCTTGTCAGACTAAAGGGTTACACCTAGAAATTGTGACACCCCAATGTGCGGGATGCGGTCAGAAGGGGAACAAGCCATGAAGAAACACTTACGTGCTCATAAACTGCAATTCTTTCATTAATCAAGAACACAGATGGAAGATATTTGAGAACAGGGTGCTGACGAGAATACATAGACTGAAGAGGGATGAAATAATGACAGGTTGGAGAAAACTGCATAATGAAGCGTTTCAAAACTCATAGTATTCCCCCCCCCCTCCTTTAACTTGACGGATAAGGCTCTCTGGCCTGTGCCCATTCAGGGTTAATTATAAAACTGTGACTCTTGTAGACAGTCGGTAGAACTCCTTGGAAGGGGGATCAGCCCGACGATTGGCGTTCCACTTCCTATACAGGAAAACATAAACCAGAAAGAAACGCAGATATCCATGCCTCGAGTGGGATCCGAACCCAGGACCCCAGTGCTTTAGCGGGCGAAGACAGTAACTCGTACTTTTCGCAAAATACGATTTGAATGCCTAAATCAAGAAGTGTAAGATGGGACGGGTATGTAGTAAGCATGAGGGAGAACAGGAATTCATACAGGGCTTTGGTGGGAGTGCCAGGAGGAATGAGCTACTAGGACGACCTGCACATAGGTGGGAGGATATTATTAAAATATATCTTAGAGAAATACGTCTAGGATGAGGTGGTGCGTACTGGATTGATCTGGCTCAGGATAGGAAGCATTTTCGGGATCTTGTGAGCACAGTAATGAAACTTGGGCTTCCATAATATGCTGGGAAACTCTTGAGTATCTGAGCGAATGATGGCCTTTATGAAGGACTCAACTCCATATAGCTAGTTGTTTATTTAGTTAGTTAGTTTTAGTTTTAATGACAATTTAGTGACCCACTTATTAGTTTTGAAGATATTGTATAAACTACTAACCCATTGATATTTCAACGGGAATTCATTAAAAATAAACTGGTGTGTAGTGCTGTACAAGTACACCGGCTTTTAGAAGAAGTACTCTGTCTCCATTTTCAGGATCGAAGAATAAGCCGTGGCATTGGGATTGGTTGTGTCTCGGTATACTCTTCGAGACTACAGACTGAGGCCGTACATTTCTCCGAAACGCAGGTAAACTTCCACTGGACTATACGGCGTCACACTCATGTAAATATTACTCTTCATGGTAAATGCTGCGAGAACTTTAACCTCAGGTCCCTATTTCAATATAGGGGGAGGCACGCGGTGGCGTTTTTAGTTGAGACACTATGCTACAAGCCGGAAGGACGTGGGTTCGATTCGCGATGAGGTCATTGGATTTTTCAATTGACCTAAGCCTTCCAGCCGCATTATGACCCTGGGGTCGACTCAGCCTCTAACAGAAACGAGTACCAGGAATCTTCTTGGGGGTAAAGGGCGGCCGGCGTGTGAGGCTTACAACCTCACCGTCGTCTCTGAGCCGATTGTTAGAAAATGTGGTTGCCTCGACCTCTCACAACCCTACGGGCCTCCAAGACCTTTTACAGGGAGAGCTTTGCCTTTTCTCTTTCAACCCTGTAAAATCTATTGCCATTTCAAGGCATCCCTCTAGAGTCTAGATGAATACATTGAAATGAACATAAGCTCCACCTCTTAAATCCTTCCCTACCCACCGTCACGATCACACTTCTACCCCGAAAGACGTTGCGGACACGTTTAATTGGAAAACAGCCCTTTGTAGAAATCTGATAAATGCTCGGCTAATCAAAAAACCCCATCCTTTATGGACCTTAATCTTGGTGCAGTTCAGATACCTACATGCTTTCCATTTAGGTCTCTTTTAATGCCATTCTCAGTTATACCATCCCAATATGACTATTTTAAGATTATAAAGCAATCAGACCGAGATTTGAACTGGGTACTTCCCAAATACAATTCTACTGCGTCCGGAATTCTACGAGTACATTAACCTGAGCTGTCTGCTTAGCTGGGACACAAATATGGAGCTATATATGTAGTGGGCACTTCGTCCTAGGCAAGACTGTTCCCGTTTACAAACCGATACAGGGGCTGTACTCATATCTGTGACGTATAGACGCCAGACCGTCATATCCACCATCACTGACTCATTTTTCAGCCATTTTCACACGGTGAGTTCGTAAATCAATTTCACGCACAGAATAAAGAATTTGTTTCCCCAACATAAAATATGTTTGTATTGCTATTTGACTGCAGACGACAGGGGATATTCGTTATTTCCCCGTGGTCTCAGCG